GCCAATCAGAAATGAGCGGTCGCTTTCTCCTCCTGCTCGTCACAGGCAGCGCTGCTGTCCCGGGCATGACCCCCTAGAGGTGGGCTTGCCCCCCATGGAGAGTCTTCAGGCAGAGGTGGTTAGAGTGGATTTGGTGTCCTGTCCCCATTCAGGGGACAAGCTGGCCATTGCCATCACAGCCACATCCAAGGGGACGCAGGGGGGGTTGGGACCAGGCCCCCCGGGGTGGCTGTAGCCAGGAGCTGGCACACTGCTGGCTAGAACAAGATAGGATCCTGCCCCCAGCTCCCTGCTGGCCCTACCCAGAAGGACTGAGGGCCGCTTGTTCAGGAGCTCCACGGTTGGCTTCTTGCAGAGACTGGCTGCTGTACCTTTGAGCTGCTGCACACAGCTCACCCGAGAGAGGAAGGTCAGCAGGCTGGTGGGGCACCCAAGCAACCTCTCTGTCCCTGGCAATGTGCGACTTGCCCTGCCTGTCTGGGACGGGGCTGATGCTGATGCCCTGCCCGGGTGGGCGGGCTACTCATTTCCTGGTGCCCTGGCCCAGCTTAGGTCCAAAAGGGCCAGTGACAGAGGCTACGTGGCAAACTCTTGGATTGGTGTCCAGCCGGGCTGCGTGCAGTCTGCACGCGTGTGGCGGGCATCTCTGCTGTCACCCTGCAAGTCCCCAGCTCAGTCTCAGCTCATTTGACTGCCTCGGCCGCAGCATGAGTTAGGCTGACAGAAACTGCCAGACGGTGCCCCTCCTGCTCTGGGCACCGCCTGGCCCCACTCCTCTGCCAGTCTGCTTGTTAATAGCAGGCCCTGCTTCACCAATGGGGATGGGCATGCCCAGCATCTACCGAGGCCACAAGAGGGGGAAGGGCCAAGCAGACAAGCCAAGGGACACAGCTGCCACCGCTGCCCGGGGCCAGCCAGGCTTCCTCCTCCCAGGACTGGCAGTACCAGCTGCTAGCGGCCCCCCAGGCCCACTTGCTCAGTGTCCCCCCTCCCCTGAGATTGGCACTGGAATCTCATCTAGCTGGACACACAGGCGCCTGGCACCAGTCTACGGACCCACAGTGTCCTCCTCTCCAAGCATGGTCCCGGGCTCTCTTTGGTGGTCTACCTGGCAGTCCCAGAGAGTGGCTCTGGACAAATCAGCCTGGCGCATTCCTCAGGTCAGCCCTGGCCACCTGCCAGCCCCAAGGCTGGAATGCCAACTTTGCTTGTTCTCCCTGGTGATCCTGGGCAAGCCTCTGCAGAGTGGGCCCCTGGCTGCTTGCTCCTGAGCCCACAAGACGGTTAGGTGCAGGACTGGGAGCGGCACCATTAGTGCTTCTCTGTCCTCACCCCTGGGAGGCCCTCCCCTCCGCTCCCTCCCACCCCCCACCCTGCGCTGGGTCTGCCCTGGAGGAAGACTTCCACAGGCCCTCTGTTTCCCCTGCTCAGCATGCAGGCCCAGGTCAGCAGCATCCAGTATATCCAGTGGAAGGACAGTGGCCAGATTGAAGTCAAAGCAGTGGCTGAGCCTGACATTCAGGACTCACGCCGTAAGAGGTGAGGAGACCCCTATCCTCTCCCTCCACTTCCCAGCCCTGTCTCTTCTGTGGGCCTCATCTAGTTCAGGCTCCCCTCCCCAGGGGCCCAGCCTGCTGCCCCCTCCCCT